GAGGGGTATGCTGCTCGTCTGATTGGCGGACACTCAAGATTACTCTATTAGATAAGCAGATTGATAAGTGCACTTACAGTAGCAATGTGCACATAAGTTGATACGGGTGGTTCGAGGATTAATTGTCTCCCCTTTTATACAATAATTAATTATGACCACTCTTTTGACACCAGTAAACTACATGTACTTTGCTCCTCTGCAAATTCATCATTACACTTGTCCATTCACACCTTCAAACCACTGACCTTTCTATTCTCTCAACCCCTTAACCAAGATAACACCTGGCATCACATCATTCAGGAAGCTCACGCCAGAGCAAAGAATGTATCCAGGCAAGTTAGGTAAGCACCAGCAACGGTTAAATTAGTCATGGAGCCCAACTGTTCAGGAATTAATATCTTAGCAGTGGGACTAAGGTCACCAGGTTCGAAGGTGGCCAGCCACCTGCACTTTTCTCTCCAAGACAACTAGCCCATTGGCCAAGTTTGAACCCATACCCTTGTCTGACAGTATTTAATGCCAGTTCATGAAATCCGCTGACAGCGTAGACTATGAGGGGCTGCTTGGTGATAGCACAAGCTTGCAGTGGTACAACCAACAACTCAGGAGCCTGCAAGAATCCCGCGTCGGGAAGCTCTCAGTGCTACTTTGCCTGCTATGCGGCCTATCATCGTCGCTGCTATGGACCTATCGATTGGTGAGAATCATCTGAACTACTGCATGTGCCTAAATTATACCGCAACGGCAAGTCCGAGTTTGTGGCGGTAAACTGGCGATATTTAGCCAGCTATAAACTGACGATTGTCCCCACGAACCAGAATTTGACGGAGTTTGACCTCAGATTTGCCCACGAAGTAGAGTAATAGACAAGATGGGTCTTTACAAGGAACTAATTGAGTCTTGACAGAGGTGGATGACATTATCGTAGGAGCTATAACTCTCACCACCTAAACTATCACCCACAACCATACTAACAGTCTGACAGGTGGGACTGCTGGCTGTATTGTCGCTGCCAGACTCGCGGATGCAGATCCCAACCTCACGATCCTGGTGATCGAGGGCGGCAGAAACAATGATATGCCTACCATTAGCTTCCCAATGTTCTTCTCTCGGAATCTTGTACCTGGTAGCAAGGCGAATATATTCTACCAGCCAGCAGCGGAGAGCCAGCTGAATGATCGACAAGTCACCGTTCCTGCTGGCGGTGTGCTTGGAGGCGGGTCATCGACTAATCTGATGATGTACAACCGCGCCCAGAGATCAGACTTTGATGCCTGGGTGTACATGGATGGTCCGCTGATGAGATGCTTCCGTATCTGAAGAAGATTGGTGGCACACCTGTCGAGTGATTCAATTTTCATGGCTGACGAAGACTCTCACAGTTCGAAACTGTTGAAATACAGCACTTATTTGTGGATTTTACAGTATTTTTTTGTTTGTGTCTCCGAATCCTCACAGCGGGCACCGTCAATGGCCCAGAGTCCCGGAAACTACGGGTATTATGAAGAACCCGGAACTTCGGAGAACACGGACATCATCGGTGGCCTGGGACCTTGGAAACCACGGACATCATCGATAGCCCGGAACCGCGGAAACTGCGGCAGTGAAGGAATTGGAGGAAGCAAATGCGAGGACTGGATGCCTATAACAGGCTCCTCTTGCAGCATATTCGAAGTATTCTGTTTTCTCTCTTGTTAAGTCAAGCTATTAGGTCAAGGTTAATATACTGGTTTTCCACACTCTCTTCCAGAGCATAGTCCTCTGTTATTAAGTGCCTACCATCTTATTCACAGGGCACAGTTCCCTATACCTGTCTTCCTTCAGTGGCATTGCACACCGTCGTACAGCGCAGTCCAAGGAACCCTAGAGTTCTCAGGTTGTTGCTTCCACTTACTCGGCAGGACCTATTCAACTGGCCTACCAGAGTTATAATTCTTAACAGAAACCTATCACGGAGTCGACAAAAACGGGACTCACGGTCACGATGGACCGGTCCAAATCTCTACCAGCACTTTCACCTCCACGCGTTTCCAGGACCAATTCATCTCCACCGTTGAAAAGCTCGGCTGGCCAGCCAGCGATGATCTCCAAAACCTAGATTCATCCAACAGTATCGGTATGTCTTTTCCTACCAAAACCTTACTCCCATCCCCCCCCTGAAATCTCACATCCCATACTAACCTGTCCCCTGACAGGCGCGCAACGCGCTCTCCGCTACATCTCCTCCTCCGGCACTCTCGGCACACCTCCCATTATCGAACGATCCAGCCTCGGCGACCCAACCATCCTCTCTAAAGCCGGCATTCCCCTCATTCACCCTCCCCGGCATCGATTCCTCTTCCTAAAACCACCAGCTGCTTATTTTACCCCACCACTCCTCCTTTGCCCCCTCCGAAACAGCCGACTCCCTCGCCTTAGGTCGCGTCGACCCAGTTCCCCTAATCCAGCGCAACGATCCAATCCTAGGCTGGAACGCAATGGACGTAACCTGCAAGTTCTGTCCTCGTTCCCAGAACAAAATTTCCTCTCTCGGTCCAGCGTTTGAAAAAGCCTCGAAGAGGGATTTTGAGAATATCCCGTATAATCCTGCTCTTGTGGCGGGGGATGGGGCGGATAGGCAGTATTTCTCTGTCAGTTGCCTTGACTATTCATCCGTATTTGAAAGGACATGTGCATACTACCAGGAAGGGGTTGTCGGACCCGTTGGATTTCCAAACTGGGTTTCTGGGGGATAAGGGAAGGGTGGTGTCAACCAACGGTATGGGGTTCAAACTTGGCCAATTGGTTGCTTGTCCTAGGGAGTAAGGTGCAGGTAGCTGGCCGCCTTCGAACCTGGTGACCTGAATCCCACTGCCTAGATATTATTTACTTAGCAGTGGGCCTCCTTCCCTAATTCAACCGGTCGCAATCTCAACTTTGTTTTAACATCACCTCATCTCACCTTCTTCAATCTTGACCCACAATCGCTTCTATGTCGTTTGTTATGTCTGGTTCACGGATAAGATGGCCATTTTTCAAAAGGAAATCCAACAGTATTACATGTACTGATCTCCAAGCCCACGAATCCCTCTCCCCATGTCTCACACCACCATCTCTTTTGGCAACTACCGATAGCCCATTCTTCCAGCAGTTCCCGGCAGAAATTTGCGAACAGATATTGATGGAGGCATTCGGCAAGAATGCCATTCACATTCATGCCGAATTAGAATACGCCGAACAATAGTTCCGGCTACCACCCCCCCCCCCCCCCGCCTCGAAAGTCACGGTCAAACTGCAACTGCCCAAGCCCCGACCCTCAAGAAAACTATTGAAGGCGTCCCAAGAATGGATATGAAGTATATTGGAAAGAAACCATCTACCACGAAATGATCAATATGAACATGCCCTTTGGAACGTCTCGTGATCCTAAAATCCTAGACGCTAACCCCAAGTCCTGTCTTTATCACATCATCCAACCGAAAGAACGATGGAGAATTGTCCCTGATTCGGAAAACAGCGGCATGTCAGCAGCAGGAATTATTCACACAACTAGGCAAAGCGACGGTACTGATCAATACCATCTCACAAGGTCGCGGTTCTCTGCCTCGATCTGCCATCAATGTATGGCCATCTCCCACCGGCCCCCTTATAACGATCAGTCATCCTTTTCCAGCTGCCTTTCGCCTTGGGACGATGGATGTCTTTACAATGGATTTTCCCCTGACATGAACAATGACTTTCCTGACGACCATATCCAACAGAGATGTCTGATTGCGGCCATGGGCTTTTTACTGTCTTGTAAACAGGGTTATTTTGAGGCGTGCAGGGTGTTGTATGAGCGCAACTTGTTTCACATTTCGGGCGACTTGATGTTTAGACGATTGCCGTATATTCTACCGCGGCAGAGACTGGAAAGCATCACCATGGTTGAGCTGGTGTGGGATTTGTACCTGAGGAGGATGGAGTCTGTGTACTGCGAGAAACATAGGCGGATGTGCCAAGTGACAACCTTTGAAGATAGGCTGAAGGGCCTAGGGGTCATGATGGACAAGCTTGCGAGACGGATGCCCGGGATGAGAAAGATGTGGCTATGCTTGCAGAGCAATATACTTCCCTTCCATCTCGAAGAACAAGAGGAAAGGCTAGAAGTGATTGAGAAAGTGTTGACAATGATTTATAGAGGGCTCTCAGGGTTACCCAGGTTGGAAAACGCGAGGGTTGCGTTTCAGACAGCTTCTTAGGTGAATATGGGGCATCGTGCACAACGGAGATGCCAGAGAGGTGCATCTCACGTAGGACATAGAGAGGTGGTGGTGAGATCTATCAGGTGAGAATGTGACGTGGGAAGAGTCCGATTGGACAGCAAGGACAATATCATGGGAGGGTTTGGGGAGGGGATACTGGGTAATGGCTGGGAAGCCGGATGGTTATTATTATCAGCCCCATTGTGGAATATGAAATTTCAAGGAGTTAGTCTGGTTTTTCAACGTCAAGGTATCGCAGCAGTATGGCTTCCTATAAAGTTCCGTGCTATCGCGCCTAAGAACCGAGAGCTCTTCGCCTTCAAATCTTTCCTTCATGGACCACCCTGGAATGATCTTTAGCTTTTGCAGGCCACTGTTGTCATGCAGGAATCTCATAGTCGGCATGTCAGTTGTCTTACATCCAATGAAGTCTGTAACGGGTTGAGCCCTGGCATGGGCCTCAGCAACCATCGGCCTTGGGAGGGATCTCGGCAACATCCTTGATGAAGCTATTCCCCGAACACACACAGCACACGCACAGACCACTACTCTAGACCTTCTCTCACCGCGCACTGGCCAACGCGCTTGGCCATGTCGGAGGCTCACGTTGTCAAACCTTCTCTTTCTCTTTTCCTTTCCTTCTCCAAGTTCAGCGTACTCGTACATGTAGAGTGGTCTAGCTAGTTAAAATACTACCTTGAGCCCATTACAAAGTCGTCGGCGCAGAAGCTTTTCCATATCCAGTAGATCCAAGGTAGTACCCCAACAAATCATCATGGTGAGATGGCCGAGCGGTCTAAGGCGCCACGTTAAGGTCTATCCTTGATTCCGATCTACTATCTAGATTCCGTGGTCCGAAAGGGCGTGGGTTCGAATCCCACTCTCATCAACTTACTTTTGCATTTTTACCGAAATCTCCACAAGCCTTCCACCGTGAGGGCTGTTTTGATCTTGGAATCAACAAGGGCCCTCTTTACACAGGCACACCAGGAACATATTGGTTTTGAAATTTGGCTGTTACTTTGTTTTTCATGGACTAGTATGTAGCTTTGTCGAAACTGCATCCGATTCAACAGACTCAAATACCTATCAAAACCTTTTGCTCTGGCCAGCCTTCCAACATCCTCCTACTCTAGGATCTTTTGACCACGTCCCGAGCAATTGTTGCGTAACTTGAGCCCCCCAAGATCTCGAAAACAGCCATGTCCACTTTCAGCGCCTCTCTTAACCAGTTCCGTAATTCAACGGCTACCAACGAGTCAACACCATAAACAGATAGCGGCTGAGTCGGGTCTATGCCGTTGGAGCTTTGGCCGAGCGCTTTGCAAACTTTGTGTCTAGAGCTCCAGATAATACGGTTGCAGCGTCCACAACTGACTCTACCTGTTCAGCACGAGCGCGCAAGTTATCGGAATCGGAGCTCTTCGCGCCTTTATTGGGCGCGTCCGACGACGAATTTTGAACCTTTCCAGTGATCTGATGAAGGTTTGCAAAAGTCAACTCATGCATCCAAGCCAGGAGGTCCTTGTTTCTGGTCACCACGCGCTGAGGAAGGTCCAAGCCCATGGCCACTTGAGAAGTCTCACTGTAGGCTGCATTCTCAGGATTGGGGTAGAAGTCCAAATGGTGTGATTCCAGCAGTCAACGCCCTGTGCCCGCATGATTTACTCCCCTCACTAACCACTTCGATATATAAGCGAAAGCGCCACGCAATTGATCCACACGCAGCATCTACCAATTTCATCCTCCTTCTCTACAACCGATCAACTTTTTTAAACGGCAACCAGAAATCATTACGCATTTTAATCGGAAGTACGACTACCAAAGGGCCCTATGCGAAGATCCAGAGGTTATTGGCGGCTGGTTTACACTTGTACGGAACACAATTGCGAAGCATGGTATTCTGGAGGTGGATATCTACAACTTTGATGAGACGGTGTTTATGATGGGCATTATCTCAACTGCAATGGTTGTTACCAATTCCGAACGACATGGCAGGGCCAAATCGAAGCAGCCTGGTAATCGGGAATGGGTAATTGTGATTTTGGGCATCAATGCGACTGGCTGGGTGATCCCACCATTCACCATTGTCAAGGGGAAATATCACCTCTCCTCGACGGCCACGAAAGCCACCACTCGACTGACTTCGAACTCTATTACAAAGAGAACAATATTATTACTCTCTGCATGCCTTCCCACTCATCTCATATCCTCCAGCCACTCGATATTGGGTGCTTTAGCCCACTGAAAACGGCATACAGCAAGCAGATTGAGGAGATGATGCGGGCATGTATAACCCATATCACTAAAGAGGAGTTCTTTCCTGCGTTTTTCGCAGCCCACCAGGCAGCGATAACGCGCGACAACATTCAAGGAGGCTTCAGAGGTGCCGGACTTGTTCCTTGTGATTCCAAAAAAGTGATTTCACAACTCGATATCCGGCTTAAAACGCCAGCGCCAGCGCCCTCGAACTCTTGGCTGGCAGTGCCCACACCTGGGTCTCTAAAACGCCAAACAACCCAACTGAAGCCTCTTCACAATCTAATCTCATCAAGTCTGGGATTGCACAGTATCAGAATAGCTCTCCAACTAAGATTTTAAGGGCAGTTGACGTCCTTGCGAAAGGGACGTCCAGGATAATGCATCAGTTGGCATTATTGAAGGCAGAGAACCAGAGTCTCCGAGCAGCAAATGAAGCACTAAGCAAACGCCGAAGGGCCAAAAAGCAACGTGCTCGGCAAGGAGGATCACTTTATGTACAAGATACACAGGATTTGTAGGGTCAGAGAGATGTTGAGGCGCAGATAAAGGAGGAAACGCAGGCAGGTAGTGGTCGGAAGCCGAGGACCGAGACGCGTGTGTGACGCTGTGGCAAATGCGGCGAGCCTGGTCATAATGCGCGCACATGTTAGATAGTTGTAGAAACGTCTGAGGAAGATAATTCCAAGTAATTTTAATTGTTTTGAGCTGTTTTGGTGGAATTGTTCTTGTATTTGCAGTGTGGGTGCAGGGAATGTAGCGTTTTCACTTATAAACCACGTTATGCCATGAAGATGGCAGTTGAGACAGTATCCAGGCACTGTGCTTCGAGTAGTACACATTCCCACTGAAACAGGAAAGCGGCTCTGAGATAAACAGGGCTCAGCCATCTGAACTGTTGGTTGAGGTTGGGGCTAAACGAGCCGATGTTGTTTGTGGGAATCAATCCGTAACGGTATGAGCGGACGCATACTGGCGGCGAAGGTTATGTAGGACCTAACCTTCAGGTAAGTGTTCCTTCGAAACAGAGTAATTTCTGCGCCGCTGTAACATGTCGGCCGTCGGGGAAAAGGTCTGGAGCCCTGGAGGACATCTGTTGGGGTGTTCAGAACAGCCTACACCTGGCTTTCTAGCTAGGGTCCTTTGTATCCTTATGCATTTGTACATCTGCCCCCTTCAACAACGAAGCCTCTGCTCCTTCAGACGTGAGCGATCAACCTTGAACTCAGCTGAGGACAAAACTTCTGAAGGCTTAAACGAGGACGGGAGTACGACGCCTGGCTGTCATAGTCATCTGTCTTTCGATTGCTGTTATAGCAACATTCCTACGCTTCTGGTGCAAGATTGGTCTGAAGCAGGGCATTCATGGAAATGACTGGTTATTCTTGCGACGACTGCGTCCTACATAGGAGCGGCTTCGGCTTCATTATAGGGCATGTATCGCCGCATTCTTGGTTAAGGCATCGGAACTGACCACATCAAAGGCCTCTTCGAGGGCAGCTATGGCAAAGAGATTGGTGAAATCATGGCCGAACTGGCAAAACGCCCTTCCATTGCCACGGTACGAAGCATGGAGAACTTTCTCATGGTTTGTTGATCCTTCACATTGTAAAAGTCTCATCTAACATCACCGCAGTCCCTATCCATCGCCAACACCATCCTGTACTTGACATTCTACCTAGCCAAGATATCCATCCTGCTCCTCTACCGCCGCATCTTCGCCACACCCGAGTTCCGCAAGACTTGCCTCGTCAGGATTGGGATACCAACAGTCTACCTCATCGCAGCCCAAGTGGCCAACCTGTGCAACTGCATCCCCATCGATCTCTTTTGGCAAAGAATTTTTTGATGGGTGGCTGAAGATTCCCAGGACTGGGAGATGGAGTCTGTATTGGAGAGGGCGTGTTGGAGAAAAGAAACACCTTGAACTAGTCGCCTGAGCCGTCGTAATCACGGATGTCGCCAGGAGCCTTGGACAGATAGATCTATGCATGTGATATGGGTAATTAAAACAGATGTATCAGAAGAATTTTGTGAAAAAAAGGACAAGGGATAGGAGATAATATGAGGAATTGTGAGTGACTTCACCTAACACTTCAGGTCTCAGCAACCCATGGGAGGTTGCTCGCCGGGTGAAGTCTGAGTGACTGGGCCTGGGTGGTAGCTAGATGCCAGAATCAAGGTGCAGGTTGAATTCAACCGTGTGCCGACCGGGTGTGACCTGCGCTGTCCTGGGCTCACGGTAGTGTCTCCAAGAGCCCTCGTTGCAGCGGAAGTCTGGGAGGTTGATGAAGTTGTTACTATGCGGCATGAAGCCAGAATCATGCTCGCTGTCACACGTCAACCACCCGTAGCCTGGATCACAACCAACAACACAGTGAACTGCGAGTTCTGAGCCATTTGTTGGAAACTGAAACAAGCAACAGGCTACAGGCGGCAGCAGCAGAGGAATTATTGGCTCATGTATAGTCAGAGGGAAGTACCGGACTTAGCAGATGCCTATGGTCATCACAGTCACGGACCATTTTGAGAGAGATAAATACATAAGCAGAAGAGCAGAGCAGTGGGACGAAAAGATTGCCTATTAAGGATCTTGAGGCTACTGAAGATTATTAAAATGAACTGAACCTATGTTATTCCAAGCCCTGAACTCCAGCCCTTGTAACACTCGCGGACATACTCGAAAGCTCCTGTTCGGACGCCGCTGAGAGTCAGGTGCGGGAAGAGAAAGTGCGTCGACGCCAGCTGCACGACCAGCACGAACACAAGGGTGGCAATAGTAGAAAGGTACATGGTAGATGGGGAGGGTGTCAGAAGTATAAAAGCTAGGGGGATGTGATGGTCAGCACTGTGATGGGAGAGGTCTACGAGGTTTAGTTTGAGGGGTTCAGTCTCCTTTTATACTTTCCTTGAGCCATGCAGCCAACTGTGACGGATTTTCCAGCTATCACCACAACAAGCTTCTCGGTGACAAACCTCCCAGGTGTACTCAGTGCAGTCACGTCAAGGGTATTAAAATGGAGCCAAAGAGGGGTCTGCTGATCCAAAGGAAAATGAATTTGTATTTAACGTGGTTTATAAGCGAAAGCGCCATATAAGCGAAAGCGCCACACTCCCTGCACCTACACTGCAAATACAAGAACAATTCCACCAAAACAGCT